CTCCCATTTTTCCACTTGTTTAAAACTATTTCGAAAATCAAGAGAAAAAAAGATGCTTCAGAGATCAGCAGGGTGCAGCCGTGCCTTGTGCAACAGGGAGGAAACACAGCAAGATAGAAAGCGAGGGAGGCGTCGGTGGGTGTGGGAGAGGAAGGGAAACGCAGGGGTGGGAGGCAGGACAACTTGATGACACCATTTGCAAAACTTCTCCTCACCGAGTCGGGGAAAGGATGGCTGAAAGCCAGAAGAAAGGAGGTGGTTTTAAAAGTAAGTGCCATCAGCTGGGAACCGGGCGGATTTGGGGCATCTCTCATTTTTGGCAGGAAATGCACAGGAGGCCAGGTTGCACGTGCGGGAGCGCTTCAGACCGCTGCTGGTTGGATCTGAAAAATCAACTGGCCAACTCTTTATTTTTTCCGTAGTGTGATCGTTCAAGGCAGAGGAGGAGAGGCTAGTAAAAAAACTCAGCTTTGCACCTTTGGGGATAAGGTGAAGTGCTTGGCGCACGGGCACCACCTTGCTTCTTCCTGAAATTTGGCAGCGGGGTGGCTCACCCTGGCCTCGAATTTAAACTGCCTCTTTTATGGCCTGTCTGGTCCAGGCTCTGAAGATCGGCTAGCCAAGCCGTGAATAGGGTGAGGGTTCCGCGTGCGATTTGTTAAGAGGCAAGTTTCTAGCTCTCATGATTCTGGGACAGCTGCCGGCTTTAGGGTGAGCTGCGGTAAAGGGTCAGTGGCAAGTTCGGGACAAGTTCAGCTCCAGGTGTTATCTTGGCCGCAATGCAGGAGTGGTTTATGATTGCTTCCATCCCGGATTTTGGCATCTCCATCTAGTTTACACCCCAGGATTTCCCTTCTAAATCCTGTTGGGGGATCAGCTAAAGGCTGCCACATCGACGTTCGCAGATTGGAGACAGACCCGGTATCTCGGGAGATTAAAACTGGAGTTGACTTCAGGACAAGGCGGAGACCCGCTCTCCGTGAGCTAAGCACCTGCCCATAAGGATGCCAGTCCACGTTGTTCTGAATAAGAGCCGACTGAACGCGAACCTAGAAAGCCGCTTTGCACCAAATCCGATCCTTGGCCAATCTTAGCTGGAGATGACTGCTCCAGCTTCTGTTTTGTAGTAACTACGAACAGAGCGAGCAGGCCTTGCGCTTTCCGAAAGCAGGTGTCAACTGAAGGAAGAGTGAAACGGGAACCCCCCACCAGGAAGTGGGCAGATTTTTATCTGCACACCAGTGCATGTTGCTCGCTCTTGGCGCTCTGCACTTTCCAGGCACCGTAGCCAAACCCGGCGGCTTCCTGTTGTGTTGAGCTACGCTCCCATCCTCCCCGGCCAACCACTAAGTTGGCTGGGAACGATGGGGATGGGGAGTCTGCCTCCTGGGGGGGTGGTCTCAAACTGGGGAGAGCTGGCCAGACCTTATGCCCATCATAAGTGTGTGGAAATATCGTTTATTGAGCAAGATGGCGCTGCCTGGGTCCCCCCCTCCTTGAAAACAAAGAAGCACTTGGTGGCAAGGATTGAAACGGCATCATCTTAAAGAGAACTTTTATAAAACGTTGTACCCTTGGTATGTGACACCAGAAAAATGATCTAGAATGTATAAAGGTACTTCAGCTCTATGTTGGGAACGTGAACAAGAAGGGACATTTTATCACGCTTGGTGGACGTGTAAAAAAGCTAGAAAACGTTGGATTCAAAAAATACATTGATTCAGTGGATCTTAAAGATTAATATGCAACTGAATCGAAAACTTTTCCTCTTGGGACTGATCAACAAACAGTTGGAAAAAAGTCACGGAACGTTGTCTTTATATACTGCAGCAGGATGATTATTTATTACTTTATCTTACTTTGTATTGAGGTCTACTCTTGTTTTTAAAACTTTCAATAACAGGCGATTTTAAAACAAGAAAGCGAAGAAGCCCTGCTCATTTTCTCCATCGTGTTCAGCCAAGCAGAGGGGAGAATTTTAAAAACCTTTAAAATCATCCTAGGAAAGGATAGCTGGTGGGGGGGGGGAGAAAAACAGAACGTGCTGCTTATTTCCGATAATTAGAGACAGTTGGAAGGGATGGAAATGTGTTCAGGAAAGCTTGGGAAAAACCTTGTCTGCGAAAATCTCCATCCGCATCGTCCTGGGAAGTAACTCACCCCTTCTGTTTTTATTTCAGAGTTTTTTAAGCTCAAAGGGTTTGGGAGCCTCAGCAGCATTCCTCGCAGTTTCGCCTTCCGCAGGGTCTCTGTCGCCCCCAGGCTTGCCGAGAGCTGCGGAGGGGGGGCCCTCCCCCCCAACGGCTTCCTAGCCCTCAGCTTTGAGGCCACGCAAGATGACTTGGGCGCTGGGCCCCAAAGCCCGTCGCGTTATGCCCGCTCTTGCCACATGTTCAGCCACATGGGCACCATGCCCAGAGCCAGCTCAAGACAGAAGGGGCCAAAGGCGGGGACCCGTGGGCCGGGCCAGGCTTTGGAGCCAACTTTGCCAAGGGCCCCGGAGCCTGGAGACGGGGTGAGGGCGGCTGCTTCTCAGCCAGGTTCTCCGCCACGTGGAGAAGAACCGGAAGGAAAAGAGAAAGGAAGGTCATCCTCCAGTGTCAACGGTGGTCCAGGATGCTCCCAAAAGGTGACGCTCCAGGCTGAGAATTCTTCCAAATGCTTCCTTGAACCCGGAGAGATGTCTAGCCTAGGAACCAAAGAGAAACTGAAACAGATCGAGGGGGATTACCTTCAAGGAACCAGTAGACCCACTGAGAGGGCACTGGAGGACCTAACAGGCGTTCCCTTGAGCCCATCTCATTATGCCAAGTCTTGCGATGGGTACAGCCACCTTGGCACCCTGCCGAGGGCCCGTGCTGGGCAGTCGAAGAATTGCATCCAGAAGCAACCTACGAAGGCTCAGCAAGACCTCACCCGAGATCTACCTTCAAAAGCAATCCTGTCCCGTGCGGAAATGGCAGAGAAAAACTCGGAGGAGCCCCTGGAGCAAAGGTAAGATGGGACCGTTGCTGAACCCCTTGGGAACGAAAGGGTTGTGCGAACGGTCCACCCAGAACGAAAGGGTTCTGCGATGTAAAACCAAGGAGGTCTAGCTCCGTTTCAAATATCCCTCGCTGTCCCTCAAAAACGGTGGCCAGAAAGGTCCTCTAGATCAGCGTTTCTCAACCACAGCGACTTGAAGACGCGTGGACTTCAACTCCCAGAATTCTCTGGCTGGGGAATTCTGGGAGTTGAAGTCCACATGTCTTCAAGCTGCTGAGGCTGAGACGCATGGTGGTAGGTAGATGTTCCCCTGCTTATCGAACTGAGAAACAGACCCGGCCCTACTGTTAAGCAGAGGGAGGCAATGGTGTCAGACAGCAGCTGATGGGCGGGAGGGAGAGGTTGCAGTGAGTTGGGAAGTAGAGGACAATCCATCTGTCACAAGGGACACCACCCTGTGGGTGGTGGACAGGGGAAAGTCAATCCACTAGGCAGCCTTTCTAACCAAATGGGAGTTTCTTGGTCACCCGTTGCAACAAGGAAGTTGAGCTCCTGCTTCAAGTTGTCCTCAACAAGCCCCTAACCGTTGCCAGCTTGGCTGGTGCTTCCCTAATCCAGGGCTGGCTCCAGTTCCTTGGCTCCTGCATGATCCAAGGGCCCTCTCCTACCTTGCTCTGATCAAGAGATGCCCCCCCTGAGAAACTCTCTCACACTGGGAAACTGGGGGGGCGTGTTTTCTCAGGAGACTGGCCTTAGAGGAGTTGCCAGATGCAAGTGAAGGACCAGGAATTTTGCTCTCCAGGCTCTGCTTGGCTGCGCATTCCAGGGGAAATGGGAGGGACGGCGGCTTGGGGAGGAGAAACCGAGGCCCAGAGGGAGGGGCTCGGACGGTCAGGGCAGGCAGAGCGAGACGGAGACGGAGCCGCCGAACGAGCCGGACAGCCCGTCTCAGGAGCGTTAGAAGAACCTTCTTTCCCCCAGGCGCAACCAGGCAGGAGAAGGGATGGGAGAGGTGGGGATGAGATGCCACAACCTGGACCCCATCAGGTAAGGCCCAGCGGGACTCCCTTGGCCAGGGGTGCCCCAAGAGAAAGAGGCAGGTGGGGAGAATTGCATGGTCCGGTGAACGCCGCTCTAGGTTCACAGCAGCAGTCCCCAAAGTCGTGGGGCCCAGAGGGGTAAGATGAGTTAAAATCCCACCACCACCAACCCAACAGGGCTGGCTGAACACCTCTGGAACGAAATGAAGCCGTGGAGCATTCCCTCCAGAAAATCCAATCTAGAATTTTAATTGGCAGAACATCGGTCCCTGAAACTGGGGACTGGGCAGAGATGCCCTCGCCCCTTTCTGCCATCCGGTGGAACTATAACTTCCATCGTCCTCGGCAGAATCCCACCCTTGGCCAAGCTTTACACCCAGGGCTGGGGAAGAAATGCTCGTATGGTTCTGGGCCAAAGAGTTTTTCTCAGCCCCAGAGAACTTCTCCGGGCAGAAAAAAGAGTAACTCAGAGAGGGTGGGTGCCAGGACTGGACTCGAACACGGGGCCCCGCTCAGTAAAGGGACTTTCGCAGCCAGGGTGTATTTCGGGAAGAGCGACGGATGCAGCAAAGAGGGTTGATTCTTCAGAGTCCCAGTCAGGTAGACGGACCCACAGCATCTCAGCCAGGGTCTCTGCACCATTTACGATACAACACAACAGCCTCATCTATCACAACAACCCTGATGGGATGGCTGGATCTGCCCACTGCACACCGCTGCATTTTTTTCTAACCATGGGGTGTCAAGTCAGCCACATCTGGCCAGATTATAAACCAGGGTTTGCAAGCTACAACGGCTGGGTTCTCACTAGTAGGATGTCATGTTTTTCAGACCAAGATGGGTGGGTTCATAGATCATACTAAGCCATAAATCATGGTTTACAAACCACAGCAGCCAGGTTTACGTGCCATGTGAAGATGAAAGCACATTTTGGCTATTTTAACCTTTCCAGGGTCAGCTTTCCAACATCTCTTCCACTTTTCAAACGTTCAGAAAGTTTGTCCTCATCCTGGCAAATCTCTTTAAGCTACTGGGGTTTTTTTCTTCTTCTTCAATGCAATTCTCTTCTTTTTCTCCCTTTTTCTATCCTGGCTCATCTCTCATCTTGCCGATTTCCAGGGATCTCCCCCATGTATGTCTTCCTCCGGGTTTATTCCTCCCCCCCCCTCAAAAAAATAAAAATTCTGTGCAGGGTTTAATAAAAGGAACCGATTGATTTCTCTGGGAGGAGAACCCTAACTCCCCTGAGTCCCAAAGCCGTTTGGGGTTTCCCGTCTGCGTGCAGGAAAAAAGCAGCGAGTTTCAAAAAGTCAGCCGGTGAAAGAAAGGGGCTGGTTGTTTTGATGGTCAAGGCAGGGAGCGAGAGAGAGCAAGTAAGCCGAGTTATAACGGCCGTGCCTCTCAGATGGAAGAGACCAACATTTCCCACCCTTTGGCAAAGCAGGCTGGATCCCGGTCTCTTGGACTCAGACGGGATCCTCAAGAAGAGTGCGGTTCGGAGGGCTTCTGGTGGCTTATTAGAAAGGCAAATAAACCGCTATTAGTAACGCTACAGGTATTTCTACTACTGAAAACATCTGGGAAGTAGGAAACGGGGCATCCTTGGGGCTTAGAAAAACAGCAGCATGCCGCCTTATCTCGCGCTCCCTCTGAGTTGCCCCTCATCACCTTGGCGGAAGGTATCTTCACAACGACGCTGCGAGGTAGGCCAGGCTCCAATTGACCCACTGAGCTATAAGTGGGACTAGGACCCTGACTTCCTCTCCTTCGAGACCAGCCCTTTAACCACCTCTCCACTCGCTTCTCTGACCCCTTCCTAAGAATTGGTCGTTTTCCCCCAGTCTTACCACCCTGCTCCATGGGGGGGAAAAAATTGCAAAAATCCTAATATGGCCCCATGGCTTCGGGCTGCAATTCCAGCCTCACCTAGCTGGGGATGATGGGAGGTGTATTCCAGTTGTAACAGCATCTGGTTGGGGCAGCTAAAATCTCTGTGTTTCGTTTAGGGACCACATGGCCTGGTTTGCACAGGACTCCTGTAAACTCAGCCTCTGGGCTTGTGCGCCATGATTTATGCCTTTCGGGGTGGTACAAGCCCACCCTGGTGTTCGTTCAGCTCAAAAAAGAGCATCTTCACGGAATATTCACTAGGCTTTCTCGTTCCCTAAAAAACCAGACTTTTCTCTCGAGGGCTACGTTTCAAGATGATGAGAAGCTGCCTTGCCCCTTGAGGCAGCTGCAGACCCCACCCCACCCGAACCAGGACTAGCCCGTAAACTCCCCCCTGCCCTTTTCGGACTGGCAAGGGAAAACGGGCACCTTCCTCCAAGAATTCCCACCGTCCCCTTCCTTGCACAGCCTCTGCACCTCTTGCCCAAGCCGGCCGCGTCTTGGGAATCAGCTGCTGGCTACCGACATCTGCTTGCAGTTAGGAGGCCAGAAGG